GCCCAGTTCCCCCACTCCGTTAACCTTTCTTTAGAAATTGGCAACATTTGCGCAGGTTAAACACCGGTGTATGTTATATCTCTGGTCTCTTTTATCTAAGGTTTATCACTAGAAAACGCGTAATTAGAATTTATACCCGTAATTTCTGGTACATTAAAATCACCTAAAATATAAGTGTTTTCTACATCTTCTATATTATCTTGTAAAAAATTTACTGCCAATTCATAAACATGATTTTTACTATTTGGAGGTATGTATAATGCACAGAAAGTGTATTTATTTCCATTGACTTTCACCTGTATAACCAGAGCTTCAAAATATGTACTTTTTCTCACTATATTTAAAATTTTATATTTTTTCCGAATATTTTTTTGTGAAAATGAGGTCTCTATCAACTCCTACTAAATTAAATAATTCAGGATAAACAATTTCTCCATCCCTTACTCCTTCTTGTAGCCATGTTTCGACGGCAATAATTATGTCAAAGTCATCGTTAAGACATCTCCTGTAAAAATCGTTGCATTTACTATTTAGTCCTCTACAATTGTGTACTAGACACCTTAATATACAGTTTTATTACAAGTAAGCTCTGTAAGAAGAAAAAAAAGAAATACATTATATAAGAAATATTTTTGCTGCTATTTCTGAAAGGCTAAATTTAAGTTAAAATAATTTAGTAATAATCCTCTTTTGCAAATCCGCAGAAAATTAAAAAATAGCCACGTACTGATATTACACCATATACAACTAAAAATTATCTACATTATATATACAGGGTGTTAAAAAAAAGTGTCACAAAATGAAATGGTGAATAGTATGACCCAAAATAAGCAGAAAAGTCTAAATAAATATATGACCGCAAATTAACGGTTTCGGAGATACGGACCATTTTGTGTTTATAACAATTTTTTATTATTATAAAAAAACAATGATATTTATAAACAATCAATAACAACATAGAGTTAAATGAGATGTTCAAAGTGCCCTCCCTCCATTTCAATGCATTGCCATTTGCACGACCGTACATAAAATGCATGTCAGCTAATTCAATATTAGTGTAAACAGACATAACGAAAATTTATAAAACTATTCACCCACAACAAAATAATAACTGCAAATAGTATCTATGAAAAAACATCAGTAGACTCCGATAAGAAAAGCAAGTTTTTGAGAATGAAAAAAGAATCAAAAAATGATACAAAACACAAAACACTCCGTATCTCTGAAACCATTCATTTGCGGATATATGTTTATTAAGACTTTTCTGCATATTTTGGCCCATACTACCCCCCGTTTTATTTTGTGACACTTTTTTTTAACACCCTGTATAAAAAAAGGAATAATAAAATATGTTATTGAAATGAAATAACTAAATTAAATTTTCCTATAGATATTATAGTGTACATCTACCTTCAAATTTACATCCGAAAGTTTATGTATAGCGATAACTGAAAACAAAGAAAAAAAACGTCTTTTATTATCTCCCAATACCTTTATCAGTTTTTGTTTTATTTTACTTGAACCAAATCAGTTTCGTTTTTAATGAGTAGAACAGTGTTGTCACGTCTTAAATATATTCTTCCATTCCTCGACCAAACATCACGTGGACCAAATGTCTTCTTGGCTGCTAATAAGAGTTTTTAAGATGTCTCAACTAAATCTTCATTTATGAATATACAAATGTAATATAGGTTGGAAAGGTTACAAATACTCTCAACTTTTTCCTCCACAGGGGTTTTGTTTGTAGGAGAGTGTCGGCCTCGTTGATCCTGTAGTACCATTAATTTCGTTTTTTTTCCTAAGGGTTCTATCAAATTTACCATCTGATACCATTAGAATTTTTTTAAACAAGTTTTTACATATTTTAATATCACTTCCCTGAGTGTAAATAATATTATCTAGTTATATGTTTCGATTTGTTAGTAGGAGTAGCATAAGTTTTGGCGTAATGACGAGCAACTTGCGAGAATATGTACCCACAGTGGCGTATTAACATCTGACGGCGCTCAAAGCCTGGTTATTTTCTACCGCCCCACACATGTTGGCATTACATGACATCCAAAAAAACAGCAAAATTGATTTATGATTCGTTAAAAATACAAAACAGTTTTCGGGAAAATAATATATCTGTTTTTATCTGTCTTAGTTCTTAATGATGCCAAGAAACCCCTATATTTTGACATTGGCCGTTCTTAACAAATTTATCTATTAGGGCAAGTTCCAACAAGAGTAGCCAATTCTTCTTCAACTTTACTTGACTATGTTGTAGCTAGAAGGTAAAACTTGGTGGATAAGGGTGTCATCATACGATCTCGTATAACTCCTTAATTTTTTGTAAAATTAATGTTAAAGAACAAAAGGAACCTAAAATGTATACCTATAAATCTTTTAAAAGTTTTAATAAAGAAAAATTTTAAAATGATTTAAGAAGTACATCAATTTATCGCATTTTTGATCAAGATACTGTCATATCTTGTAAATTGTTTAATTTCTTTACTTGATAGACATGCTCGCTTAGTTACCTCCAGATTGGCAATGACCAGTCAGAATGCCTGTGACTAGGCGGAGATTTTGTCTAGTCATAGTTAAGTATTTGTTTGCTGCAGTGTTGTCAGGATAACTTAAGAGGAAATATTCTTTAATTAGGTCTGTCACTATCGATTTTGTCAGGCCAACAGAATGGCCAGCTCCAAAATGTATTTGGTTGGCTGCTTTCTTGGCTAGTGAATCAGCAAGACGGATACCTTTCGGTGTGGCGTGACCTTTGATCCATCTTAAGGTGGCCACATTGTTGGTGGATACTTCGTGACATTCTAGTACAAATCCTGGGTAAAATACCCAACCAAAATATCACACTCAAACTTCTGGAACGAATAAGTGTGGTTTCCCAAAAAATTTTTTTAGAGCAAAATAGCTTTAATAAAAGTTGTAGAAGACCAAATTATAGACAAATTTTCTCTATAAAAAAATTTGTATCTCTAATACGAGTTACGGCGCATTAATATGACGAAAATTTCGCATGCTGCAGGGGTGGTTTCAAGGGCATTATACGTTCTTCATATAATACCCTTAAAATTATTAAGTATTAGAGAAACAAAAACGAAAAATTGTTATAACTATTATTAAGGCTAGAGTTTGCTCTTAAAAAATGATTAAGAAACCACCCATATAGCGCGATTCGTACCAGGTGTTCGAGGAGGATCTTCTAGTTGTATACTCAGAAGCCAGTCCCGAAGACACCCTTAAAAAATCATCCTGTTCGGATTTTTTTTTGTAAAACAGACTGATTATTTATCACACAAACGTTTGAATCTCAACATCACACAATATTCTTATTAAATTTAAAATTACTGAAGCCCGAAACGCCATCTACGAGTATAATTATAGAGGTGTGTAAGTCAAAGAAATTTATAATGGATTTATGTTTGACTTTCTGGACTTATTAACTTATAACATTCTAATTTACAGCAATAGTCTGCAGGCAAAAAATTTTTAGCGCGGACCATCTGGCCTTTTACATTGTTATAACTCTTTTCACAAGCTCGAAAATATTTGCGTTTATTTTCTTTTCATTCACTCTCGTGTCTCATTCGGTTTTTTAATTTATGTTTAATGTTTACCTCTAACAAAGATTCTTAACAAACATTTTTATCAATCAGTTCAGATTAAGACTTCTTTTTCGCATGACGTATGACCAATTTTTCTTTTTTATTGTCCGTTTCTGTATTACCAGAGTCACTCTCGAGCTCTGACGGCTGGTAATCATCAGAACTTTTATAGGTTTGGATTAATTAAATAATAAATTACTTAATTTTAAAAGACACAAAACCTACCTTCTATATCCTGGGATATGTCTGTACTTGAGCAACTAGTTGAGGCCATATTTTTTAAAGTTTTAAACGTTAGCGTACGTATCGTTTATGGACTGGGCTAACTATGGAGGAAGGATGGACTAACCCACGGTAAACAATATCTATCAAATATACCAAAGTGGACCAAGCCACATAGTTCGGTATGGCACCGATTTATTATTAGAATCGACTGAATGAACTATCCTATTTAGTAACGCTATCTTTTATAGGATTCTTGCAACCCAGATGGTCCACTGTGGCTTTGAAAAATGTAATACAAAATATCGGAAACAAGCCTTGGTCCAATATTTATGATTTTTTGGGATGGTCCGCTATGGTTCCCAACGCCTCAATTTTGAGTACAATTTTGAGTACAATTTTGAGTACAATTTTGAGTACAATTTTGAGTACAATTTTGAGTACAATTTTGAGTACAATTTTGAGTACAATTTTGAGTACAATTTTGAGTACAATTTTGAGTACAATTTTGAGTACAATTTTGAGTACAATTTTAAGTACAATTTTGAGTACAATTTTAACTACAATGTATTCAGGTACTGCCAGCTGTGAACCTACCTAGAATGTCCTTATTTCAAATTAACTAGGTTATTCTCAAAATAATTTAAGAATATCCTAGATGTAACTAGAATAAGTTTTCACGATTATTCTCAGAATATTATACAATGAAAGATAATAAATAAATAAATAAAGGCAACCTATAAATTTCCTAGATATTTCTAGAATAATTCTGTATATTATTGTTCTCAGAATAACTAAAATGTAAAATTAATTAGATAAAACGTTTGGAATAAATGACTGAATAATAAGACTGCATAAAAATTTATTTGATAGAATTCCTGAAAAATATCTAAAGAGTAGTCGGGCTAAGTGATCTAAATGCCAACATATTAATTTTAATTTTTTTATCAATGTGCCAGTGCTAATGTCCCACTAAAAGATCTAAGTATCAATTTTATCCTAGAGGTTGAAACCGACGTTCAAAGCGGATGCTGCCTGTATGTTCTGCATGATAATCTCTGACCTCTGTAGTTTTCTTTGATTTCTGGTAATTTTTAATTTTGGCACTTAGATCACTTAGCCCGATTACTCATCTATATATTTATAATATTGAATTATAATTATTGTTACCTGTGCTGATATCAAATTAAATCCAACGATTAAAGGGATAAGTAGGATAAGAATCTTCATTTTTTGTTTCACACTTAAAATTAAGACGAATACTAACAACAAGTGAACTTAAGAGTGCTTTTTAACGATAATTTTTAATTGTTATTTTCTTCTTCAAATGCATATTTAATTAATATTTTTAAATATTGGCTGTACAAATTTTAATAATTTCCAAGTGCACTCAACTGAATCCAAGTTAATCAAAATAACATTATTTGATAATAATATAAATATATTATTAAACTATAAATAATACCTACTCTTTAATTGCGTTGGTTGAGTTGCATAGTTAAAAACATCGTGGAACATTTTTATTTCTTAGAAAAACAATAATTTAACATGATATGGATGTGAAATGGAAAAATTAAACGTGAATGATTGAAACAATAATTGTTATATGATTCTATTAAAATTATCGGTTTTTTTTTCACTAGAAACAAATGCAATAATGATATATTATTAAACATTTTTTTTAATTATGTGTATAACCAAGAAAAAGTTAAAATCTATGTTTTCGTATTGATGTTCTTATTTTGATGAATTAACATTGAACGAGATCAGCCTTTATTAATGAACCGTGTATCGTAGAAAGCTGAGAATTTGTTGTTATTTTACAAAAGCAGATCTTAGAAATCACTGAAAAAAAGTTTTTATTTTCACCACTTGGGGACCTACAGATAAAAACTGATTTTTCAATTGACTTCTCCGTCCCTGTAGTTGGAATTACGTGGCCAATATAAATAGATTCAAGTTAATCGATAAGTGATATGTGTTCTTCGAGAACAATTTTCCTGTATAATCTACCGTTTTTCTTCTGTTGCAGTAAAGTTTTGTCCTTTCTTCCATCAAAATACAGACCTCTTATTCTTTTGTTATCACTTTCAAACTACATCTTTTAATACCGCACTAGCAATCGCAGCAGAAGATAGATCAGATATACCATATTTATCGCATACAAGACCTAACGTAGATACCTTCCCAGCTAGCATATAACGTTGCCAAGCCTTTCGGCGATGTTGTTTTAAGGGAACGTAATAACATTATCATATAACGTAATTGCAACGTACATGAGAAGTTGTTGAGAGAAATCAAAACCTCGCGAAACATCTATTTGTTACTTACGTATTTAACCTGCCTGTTATGATAACACAACATAATAAAGTAACTTGCTAAAAAAGTATCCACGATATGTACTATATACATCATTTTGTTTTCGAACGTACCCATTCATTTGTCATAACCAACAAAACATAAAAAAATGTCACTTGTCACATTTTCTTGTATTTAAGATTTAAAAGAAATTGTAAACTATACCTTTGAATAAGTTTGGTAAGTTATTTTTTTCTTTTCAATAAAATAGAAAAATATTTTCTAATTTATTGTCTGTTCTTTTAGATTGCAATATTAAATGACTGCCTATATTTTACACGATAATAGGGATCTTATTGATGTCTCAATACTATAGAAGTATCGGTATTAAACAATGAAAGTATCCATATTTAGGCACTGATACTGAATTACCAATACTATCGCCATATCCATACTTAGAAGCAAGTATCGTATCGCTATGTGTGTGGTCAGGAATAATAAGGGTTGTTCAAATATTTTAGTTTTCGCATGTGGTGAAACTTGGTAATATGATTAAGCCTGTTTTTTTTTGTTATTTAATTATAAGTTAAATTGCCAGTTATTGACACTATAACTTGTACCAGGTAGAGTACTAGTAGAGAAAGAAAAGGTGTCAACTACAGAATATACTTTACTGATGCACACTTGTTTTTAGTTAAGTTCCCCACTCCATCCTGTTGAATGGGGGTTGTCAGCCGTTTAAAAAAATCTTTTACTTGTTCAATACTTTGATACCTATAAATATCGATATCTTTAACATAATATCGAACAGTATCGATGCCTGTACCACAAAGTATTTCACATGATACCAGTATCAATACCTTTGACTGATACTCTTAGCCCTACTCCTATACTACTATAAAAATACAAAAACAAAGAAGTCATATACTGCGATCCTAGGCAGAGAGGTCCTATCTGAAAATTTGTTGTTTTGAAATAATCGAGTTTTTAACTATTTTTAGCAAATATATTTATTATCTTTTAAACCTTTTTTGTGTAACTTTTTAACATTTTAGTACCTTTGATGCAAATAAAACATCCCATTTCAGTATTAAGAAAGATAAAATGTAGACAAATGCACATAAATAAAAAAACTGATAATTTTGCAGATAAAACCTTTCTTGCTAGGACGGCAGTTAGAAGTGTTCATGTAGTTCACTAAAGATAAATAACATTTAAATTTGTTAAATTTCAGTAAATTAAGTATTACCATTGCTGTCACTGGACATATACCTATGCCATTTTGCTGTACGTTTGCTGCACAATACCAATTGCTGGACAAACTTTAAAAATGCTTTACAATACAGCAAAATTGCTGTAAGTATGGTCGCCCTAGTGTAATAATATTTTAATCACAAAAAATAAATTTTAAAAATATTGTGTTGTAGGTTTTCTTTGTGGTGGATTATAATTCTAGTAAAAATGTCAGGAATTTTAGAAGCTAAAGTTAATAATACAGAATTGGTTGAAGAAGAATATATAACATCTGAAATTATTTCTTTTTCTTTCATAGCAGAATATCATGCTAAAAACATTGTTCTGTATAAGTTGAACATCCATTATTAAATATCAAATTTGTAAAAATCAAAATAAAGGTTATTATTTATTTAGGAAAACAAAGTAAGTAAAAATCAACTAAAAATAGGTGCAACGATTTAAACGAGCAAATTTTTCATTTTCTTCATACATATTATTTACTTTAATAAAAAACAAGTAAATTTATTATCTACAAGGTTATTTTTAGGAAGAAACTATATAATTAAGTTCACATTATTTATTTATCTATCTATTTGTTTACAGTACGCTACAGATACATAAAGTTCTAAATGGTACATTTAAAATATCAATTAAAATAAAAAATAAATTAATAAAATTGTCATAGTATAAAATTGAAGTCAATATAGTATAATGAAAGTCCACGCTTAAAAAAACCTACTAAAATGTCATAATTTTAAAAATACTTATTGTAATTGGACATCAGTCGGTCTACAAATAAATTCTGTCCACAGTTAGTTCTATGAGTATTTACATAAAATAGTTTAATCTGCCTAGTAAGTCTGGCAGGAACAAGGAATCTAATAAAATGAGGAATAAACGATAGGCCCCTGTCAAAAATATCACCAAGATCATTCATAGTTCAGAACCTGTAGTGACATAATCATGCATAATGATATTAGCTATTTTATTAAACCTTATAACTTTACATTTATCAATATTCAGTTTAATCAAGTTATATCGTATTAAAACTATGATTAGTACCAGTTGTAGGCAAATATATTTTTTTAGCATCGTACAACTGCCATCTTAATAAAAATCTAGTGACCTTTGAAATATACCTTATATAAATACACTTTTTTTTATTACTTTTGTACAATCGTTCACCATTTTAGCTACTAGTGAACCTTTGTAATATACTCTTTCGTGCAAGCGTTCAATGTTTTTGATTCTAGTGAACTTTTGAGATATTCCTTATATACCCTCTATACCTACTTTTGTCCAATTTGTCAGTGTTTTATAGCTACCTTATGGTATCACACATGTGTAATTGCATTACCTGTATTATTACCTACCTCTACTTGTATGATATTGGTATTTGATTTCAATAGCTTTTTAATAATAAATTTATACAATTTTTTTATTTTGTTTTCTTCAGATTTTATTATATCCTTAATATACTATTTTGAATATAGTGTATCCAAGGATGGACATAACTATACTTGTAAAGATATTTATTTTAAATTTTTCAAAACAGGTATTTTTCATAATTTCTCAACGTTAATCGTATTTATTTAACAAGCAAAAGAAATTATGAAGAATTACTTTAAAATTTAAAATAAATATTTTTACAAGTATTGTTAAGTCCATCCGTGGACACACTGTATAATGCTGTAGAAGGAATTCACATTATAACATCTATAGAAAGTTTCAGAGCAACTTTCGGGGTAAGTACCGTAAAAGTGCTAGTGTGATGTTTTCCGAACTTCACTTTATAACTTCTACGAGATGTGCTATAAAAGTCTTGCCGTTGCGGACATTCGGTAGTTGCAGGGATAATAGGGTTACATTTACAGTACATTGCATGCGAGCTTAAAGAGCCTAAAATTGCAGCTTATTAACGTAGATGGGATATTTTTGTGCTAGCTGGGTTGTTCTCATTTGAGTGTTTTTGAGTCGTCATCTGAAGAGTATTGATATTAAAAAAAATGCTCATTTTTGTTTATTAATGTTTATTACAACGTTTCACTTCTTAATCAAAATTACCAAAAACAAAGTTACGCAGATGTTCGCTGTACGACGATTAGGCACAGAACACTTACTCTTAGAACGGTAACTCCCATGTTAGAAAACGGTGATAAATTTCAGCGCCACCTGGTGGACGTGGTTGATTATTTTTCAATTAAGTCCTTTTCGAGTAAGAGGCCATATCAAAAAAGAAGAAGAGGAGAAAAGCGCGGGGTCATTTAAATTTGACAGTAAAAATTACTCGCATTAAAAACTGTTAGCCAAGTTAAGATTTGTTCACACAAACTGCATTTTTGCGTTATTGTAGCAATATTCGCTATAATAAAGCAAACATTGAGTTGCATGAACCAATCTTAACTTAACTAACAGTTTTTAGATAAAACGACAAGCATAATCAAAAAATTAATTTATTATAAATATATATACAAATCCAATATTTTAAATGTATTATGTATGAAGAATTTGGCTGCTACATAATCCAGAATACAGCATTGTGCACTTAACATTATGAAGAATACTCTGAAACAGAAAACACAGTATAAGTACTATAAGTATAAAACTATAACATTAATCAGAAACAATGGCAGTATTCACAGTTATCAAACAGTTTCATTCGATTAGGAATCATACATTTCTATGCTTTGTGTAAAAAGTTGGGATGAAATTTGAAATATCTTTATATGGTTTGTATTTTAAATTAACTTAGTATCAGTTATTATTCCAAAAATTTGAGTTGGGTATTGAAATTATTTTACGGTTACAGATACATTTTGCTTTAACTTGCAGAAA